CCCCTTCCCCATGACTGGCAAGCGTGGTTCGGGTGCAGTGAGCCACAGGTTTGACAAAACAATACAATGAAACTTGCAACATATTTTACATGTGGATATAAATTTACTGCTAGCCAAAAGGCAGTTTGATCTTCTTGGTTACACACCATGCAGCAGCACAGTGATTTTATTACAGCCGGGACAACAAACATCATCCATGAAGAAAAGCAGGGCATTCAGCAAACATGAAATACGTCCACAATCTGGCTAATTCAGATGTGGAGACTGCAAGTGATGGCTGCCTTGTGCATTTACTTAGCCTGTGCGAATGTTAAGATTTTGCCGAGACTGACATGAGTCTAAAATCATAGTGCAGACACCAGTCTTGGGTAGCGAGTTTATCATTACACACAAATTTGACCTCCTGGTCTTAAATTCATCTAAATGGCGTGGCAATGTCACCAAACGGATGACATGTTTAGCCTCACAGACGGTGCTTTTTGTGTGTCTTGGCCATAATAAAATCATTATGTTACTATAATATGCCCCATTGCATCCTGTAATATCTGGGCTTTCAAAAGATGGTGGGCTATTCAGGCATTGCAACCTTCACCATACTTTACTAAACATCTGACTATGGTTTTAAAAAATTATTAAAAACATTAAAAACAAATTTATAATACACAAATTAATGCAAAGAATCACTCCAGTTTGAAACATCTAATACATAAGCAACTTGCCAAACTGGCAATAAAAAAAATAACAGTGCCGGTTAGAAATCAGAAAACAAAATTCATCCATGATTCTATGATCAATGTTAAATATTAAAAAGGAAGATTAATAATCTTGCACACTGTGCAAAAAGGACAAAAGATGGCTGAGTGAATGACTATTCTTCTCCTTCCTAACTATTCTAAACCACTGCAGCAACGCAACAATAATAAAATGACTGAATCTCAATGTTAACAACAATATTTCTACTTACATTTTAAGAAAACATTCTAAAACAGGGATGACAACCTTTACTTGAAAGAAAAAAAAAAGGGTGGAAATAAGCATAGATGTGGCCCGAGAAACGTGGTCACCGCAGGATTCAGAAGAGGCTTCCCCCAGCCTCCCCATAAGCTGATTTCCCCCAACAACAACCGCTTTCAAACTATCTGTAAACAATCCACAATACTATTATACACTTCTTTTCAGGCTTCCTGTCAGTGGTTCCTAAGACAATTATTTAAAAAAAAAAGTCCATGAACCTCTCTGAAGATGCCCTTTATTGACCCACACAGCTTGGTTTGCACTGAACACTAAATTGGTCGGACCTGGGATATCTCTACTGATTGTAGAGAGCAGCAGCAGGTTCAGTATTCTACACTCAGTTATTACATTTTATTGAACATTAGTAAACTATACATTTTACACAAGCCACTGCAGTCTTGAACGTTTTCCTGTCATGAGGGGGCCGTAACTGCCACCATCGTCAGCTCATAAAGAAGCCCACAAATACTAAACATTAGTGTTGAGCCAAACAGGCCACTCCTAATAAGGTCACAAACAAACACTACCACTAAATGAATAACTGCCTTCATTCATTTTGTATCGGGTTATAAAATAATGCAGCAGCACAGGACTAAAATAAACAAAACGCATTCTAGTCATTAATAAGTAGACTTAATTTTTTTTTAAACTGATGAAAATGGACATGGCAAAGAAAATGTCAAAGATGATATCCAGGGCTGAGTTAGTGAGTGTATCTAACAGTAGCATCATATATCTCCAGCAAAAAATTTGAAAGGAAGGTTGACATAATGACACACCTGCTAGTATGATGATCCTGAGTCAATTATTGTCATGTCATCTTAATATCTCCATTTCTTGCAGATTGCATAATGACCCTTGAACTACGTAACCACCGGGCCTGGGTTTTCCGTGATCAAATCTTTTAACAGTTTTCTACAGAGATAGGGATCTAAAGAGATTTAGCCTCTGAGCGAAGAACAGTCAACATGACACAATATCCCTGAACACTTCCAATGGAAGCTAGGTCTGCTAGTAAAAAGATTTTTTCAACCATTATCCTGGTCAGGATTCATCATTTTACTAATCGCAAGACATAAAAACCCAATTTAATAACCATTTTACATTACATTGAAAACTTACATTACTGAAAACACACTGACTAAAATATGTGCACAAAATATTTACACGCTACCCACTGTAAAGTCAGGTAAACAATATGTACATATACGTATTCATTCACAAAGTACAACAGTATTCACTAGAGACACACAATATTCATATGCATATATTCACAACAATAACTGACAATTGCACAACCGGGGCACAATTTCCAGCAAGGAACATGTTCTTACCATCTGACGGTAACCGCACATAGACTGCCCACGGTGCATTTCCTGCCGGAAACAAAACTGACCTATATAATTTAAGAGGCTGCAAAGTGTTATCCTTGAAGAGAAGCCTAAATTACTAAATCAACCACACAAGGTCTGGACACATCTCTTAGTGTCAATCTGACCAGCATCTATTGGACAAAAGCTAAAAAAAAAAGGCAGGACAAATTTCTAGACCTCTACATCAAATCAGATCTAGATCATCTCATTTTATCTGCACTTTCAAATCTTTCTTAAAGCCATAAAGGGTCATTATCCTGTCGACCACTTTCCACTATCAACTTGTCAGTTAGCAGACCACTTTCCAGGCTCAACTTTTCTACTTGTCAGTTTGCAGACCACTTCCACCCTCAACTCGTCTGTAGTACGCTTTCCATCCTCAACATGGCTCGGTAACCTAAACTATTAACTTGCCAGTTTGTAGCCTACCTGCCATCCCTAATCAAATCGCCATTTTGTCTGTCTACCCCCACCCCTTATCAACCTGCCAGGTGTACTTCCTTGCCTGGATTCTGCTTCAGTCTCCATTTATTCTTTCTGACTCGGCCATCTCATAAAAAATGAGACTGGTCTATATACATATGCCAGCATAGTTCCTGGCACAATGAAATTCCTGAGAAACAAGATCCTCTCATCCAATAGATGTCTAAAAATGTCATCCCAATTTATGTTGCGCTAACAACTACTCTTACCAACACAAATCATTATTAATTATTGCTCGAATTCACCAGTGCAATTCACAATACATTTCCGTCTTGAGAACTTATGCCGTCCACTCCTTGTTGGCCTATTTGCCCATCATTACCTCCTGCGTTAAGTATACTGTCGTTATCACTGCTCCGAATGATTTGAGTGGTACATTCATGCTCCTAGCAGTATTTACATTTCACAAACACCACAAAACACCTTCAAAACATTTACACCCTTGAAGACAATAAAATATCACAAAAGTTATTGTGCACCGGACACCACTGGTAACCAGATGTGAAAAATCTGTCAAAGGAATGCATCAATAACACAAACACATCCTTGCCAGCATCCCCAAGAAACCACTAATTCCTTGTTGAACACACAAAAATGCCTATCAAGATGCCTGTCGTCATTGTCATATATGCAGATAACATAACTGGTTCCTCCAATCAGTAAACTATATCAAAGTTCCACACACCAATTATCATGCATCATTAAACCTTAAAATGCTGGGGTGGGGGTGGGGGGCGGCATCACTTCTGCAGATTTTAAACCATTGAATCTACAGACATAAAACATCCACAGAATCATTGTATGTGCATATTCTTAAAAAATATTTCTTCCGTCAATTATGCACATTTTTGAAAATCACTGGTGATTGAGGCCTGCACTGTTAACCATAAATTCATTGGCCTTTATCCGTCAATCTAAGCCCTGAAACCACTGCTGCATTTCATCCACCTCTGTGATTAGATGTATTATTCCAGTTGGTAATTAACTGGCCCGCCTTCCATTTCCTGGTCAAGTCATTGGCATATCACTTTTATGTGTGCACGCGCGCCATTCCATTATCTGCCATTCCCTCTATATGACACAACCACTGTAAACCTTATAATACCAGTCCATACAATCATAAGACCCTGTTTGTAACAAAACTTCTGTCACTTTTACTCCCGGTCTAAGCTTGATAGAGCATCTGATTTAAATATTTCATCCTGCAAAATAGCAGATCAGTGAGCTCGCAGAATCCAAAACAATACTAGTGGTAATTTTTAAAAAAATAATTCAAAATCAACATCAGCGGTGATATCAAGTAGCAATGTCGCTAAAACAATACTTCACACATACACCTACCTACCTACACCCCCCACTCCCTAAATTATTTTGATTTTTACATAACACCCTCTTCAAAATAATAAAATCTCACTTTTCTCTGACACTAGCAATTTCCTATTCAAAGAGAATATTTCTTTTATATTAGCATTAACCCCACCCCTCTTTTGTTGATATTTTCTTTAGATCACTATTACTGACAATATCATCTTCCAAAATTTTTTTATCACATCTATTGTCACTGCAATGTCCTCTTCCAAAGTTAATCCTCCCCATTTTTATCGACATATCTTCGCCCCAAAATATATGATGATATGCCATTATCAGTATATCCTCTTCCCAACATCATTGTATATTAATGCAATGCCTCGATGAATTCCATTATTATACATTATCGTCTTTTTTTTTCCACACACAAAAAACCCAAGCAACATATGCACATGCTGGACAGGGACAGGAACTCTACGGTCTTAAAGAAAAACATGAACACACTAGTTTTAAATAATGAGGTGAAAACATTGCATTGCTTAAGTACTTCAGATAACGCAACTGCAACTTTCCAGACTAAATATTCCTTAACGCAAAATGCCAAACAAATGTTTTTTATGTTAATTAATAATCACTAACAAATTTAGTGTGCATTCAATCTACATATGCATAACAATGTTTCCGAACAATTTTCTCAAAAACTAAACAGGGAAAAAGCAGAATTAAGGCCACAAACAAAAATAATCTATGGTTTCGTTCCCTCACGTCCTATCAGCCAGCTGTGCATTTGGAATGATGATTTGCATACTCCGGCAGTTACAGCTACCTGGAGGACAGCATAGGTGGAACGGTGGCTAGACTGCTGGCTGAGGCCGAGGTGCCCACAAGACTGTCCTGCTCCTCTGTAGGAGTATCCTGGCTTTCTGAATTTGGCACGACGTCATCTTCTGAGGAAGAAAAAAAAAGTGGGTAAACAATGAACTGTGTAACATGGAATGAATTTAGGGGAGTCGAACAACAAATAGTGGGTAAACAATGAACTGTGTAACATAGGAATGAATTTAATCTATCTAAAAATCTATCTGAAATCCTCCCACTTAAGACCATACACTGGTGTTCAAAACAGTGGGTCGCCAATTCTGGAAGTTTGTTTTTAGACGCCCTAATGTTTTCATTAAGAACAGCCTTACAGAAATGAACATCAGTCTAATAGTGCTCTTGACAGAGCCTATCAACGAACATTACATCTCCCACCCGACACTTCGATAAGGTACAAGGTGGAAGAGAAGAAGAATGTTTTCATTATCTGTTTTTGTCTAAAATATGTTTTAATGGAATATTCATGCTGAGCTAACCTCAGCTGTGAAATCATGCTTCCCATTCATGCTGTAGAAGAGTGCAGAATCCCAGATTAAAACACAACCTCATCGCTGCTGGCTAAAACTGATCTGTGGTCAAATGTTTACACAGAGAACCTTGACCCAGTTAAGTTGCAAAAACTCCCTGTAAATGTGACTTTTTGTTTTACAAATTGAATAGCTAATGCAATAGCTACTGGCTGTGTTGAAGCCTGCATAGCATGTAGGAGGCTCACTCACGATACTAACCATAAGATGTCTAACTGTGAACCAAATATGACATGAGAAACTTTCCAACAGCCTAAATTAAATATGGCGACAGGGTCACAATACATACATGATATTTCAGGAACCCTTTAATTGTTTTAACAACTCACCTTTTGTCACAGGCACACTGCTGGCTAGATTTCTCAGCACAAACGGCTTCCCGGGTATAAACTCAGGAGCATCAGAATGCAGCGTGGACATGGCTGCCACTCTCTGGATTTCTACAGGTGGCAGAAGTTCAGGGACATCAGGTTCAATGGGCCAGGATTCTGGACAATTCAATGTTCTGACATAATCCTCATGCTCTGACAGCTCTAGTTTGTCTGAGAATCTAATGGCCTGAGTAAGAAAGAATTTGAAGAATATGTAGCAGAATAAGTTTTTTTTTAAATCAAGTTATTGAAAGATAATGCACAACCGGAATAAGGGTCGCAATTTTTAAACATAACTAGGCATCATAAAAGTTAATACAGCCAGAAATATAGTGCTTACCTTATTTTAAAACATAACCAGGCATCAAAAGCAAAAAACTATTACTATCAGGCAATAACTTTAAATTTAAATTTTAGCCTGTCTGTGGTGTGTTTACGAATTGCATAGTTGACGCTATTGGTTTTTTATATCAGTATATAGTTACTAGCAAAACAGAATACACAAAAAAATATCAACACAAAATTGTTAAGCTCATACCTGTATAAGACTTTTGTAATCGGCATTGAGTGCTTTCACCTTGTTGAAGCTGAGAACCAGCTCCAGCTCAACCCAGCCCTGCTTGTCCATCTTCTTCCGCAGAAAGGTGTCTTTCACTAGGTTGTGCTCGCTGAAGTAATACTCTCTATTTGAATCAGACAATATTTTATCAGTTTTAAAGTAACAAAAAAAAAGGAGACCATATATATATATATAAGTTAATAAAAAATATTTTTTTAAAGCAGACCTAAAGTCAATCATTGAAAAGTTACTACAAAAGACGGGGTGAGAGGTAATGTGAAAGACATAGGGTGTGTTGAACATGGAAAAAGATCTTTGCTTTCAGTACGCACAAGTGGCTTATTTGTAGTGTGGTTCCTTGTCTCCAAGTACAACGCTGCTAATCAGTATCTTTTTACAAACAGCTTGTCGGTGTGGGTACCACATTATCTTTATGAGGCTCTGGGACATGCCCACATTTCCTTGACAGAGGGGACAACAGCCACAGCCAAATAGAGGATTGGCCCGGTAACAAACAATTGAGGTTGGGGCCAATCAACTGTGTCAAAATATCTGCCAACAGGCAAATGTTTAATATAAAATGTGCCTGCTGAAAACCAGACCGACCTTGACAGAAAAATGGAATAGAAGAAAACTAACAGTGACATCTGGTGATCTCTCTGGCAAACCGCTACATCCCCCAAGGTAAAAGAAGGAATGGAGCGACTAAGTTTAATCTACAAATACTTAGACCTGGGAAAGGCACTAATGGCAGCTACCAGGAGCATGACTTTAACTAAAAAAAAAACAAATATAAAAAGTCAGCTACAGTTGTAACTTACACTTGGTGCTTCAAGGTCTCAGACGGTGCTGGGTATGTGTTGGAGGTGACATCATAGTAGACAGAAGCTTGTCCCAGGAGGTTCATGATCTGTTCTTGCAGAAACAAGTTTGCTTCCATTCCTAACATAACTGAAAAACATCAATCAGGTGGTTTAAATACAGCCAGAAGCTTATTAAAAGAGTATATAAATGCACAACACGTGCAACACACCTGGCCCAGAATAGAAAACTGCGACTCCCCACTACGCTGTGAGGCAATTGTGGACAAGACATAAATGCTTTTCACCCTCTTTTTGGAGATGCCAGCTGTATATGCCGGCAGAAAAATGCTTGTTTACTTCTGGACTTGTCTTGTTATATACGTGCACAACCACTTTATAGATCTAGCTTATTTTGTATGCAGACTGCTAATGGTTTCTGGTCCGGAAGGAAAATAAAGGTCCGTCCTAGTTAGTTGTGGGTCTATTCTTTTAGCCTCCAAAAGTAAATAAACCTTATGACCAAATGCTGCAGAAGAGTGTTGCTAAACTACCCAGATTTAATCTTTGTGTCATGTCTATATATGACTTTCTTCACCACCATTCTCAGATCATGAGGTAATCTATGACAGTCATCCCAACTGGCGTATCATCATCCTATTGTTTACTGACAAAGTCTACTGAGTGTGGCCACATGTTTCACACTTTGTAAAAAATAAAATGTATAAAATGTACAAAACAGTTTGTGCACACTGTTGGTAATCTTTAAGCATAGAATACACAACCTGTCAAGCTAAAAAATGTGACTAAAAGGCTAACAAAACCCTTACTTTTTAGGTTAACCAAAAAAAAAATATATTAACCTGCTGGGTTTATAGGTGGTACCCGTGGTATACTGTGGACTCTGTTAAAGCCCTGACTCCAAGGTACTGTAAGAAGGAAAGCAAAACAGTTAGGAAAACCCAAACCAGGATCATAAGATAAAGTTGTTAACAAAATGCAATAGAGAAATTAAAACTTATGAACTACAATTTTTTTAACAGAATATTACAGTAAATAATATAAAAATAAAGCATCAGGAGACTAACAACTATGCATAATAGTACCAACCACCGCAAGGATTAACTACTCACTGGCTGTTTTTCTGAAAACTCTATTTATTACCTGTGTAAACAAGTCAATGGACAGCAAGTATGCCATTTTCTTACTCACTAGCTCATGTGCTTTCCTACTTAGAGTTCCCCAGGGACTTTTTTCTCTAGTCCTGTTTTGCCTTTAATATAAAAGATTACTGGTTCGTTTCAGCACTGTTGGGCCACTAGTTGTCTAGTCTCTCAACTGCCTCCAGGTTTTATGGTTACATGTCTAAAGTCCGTTTGGTCCTGTAACCAGGTTTTTATTGGTCTGCCTTTGTGTTGAATTGTTGCATATTTAAAATGCAATTCCTAGCATGCTGAAAGTAATTAAGTGATAGTCTGGGGGAGAGGGTGGGAACATGCAACAAAAATAAGCAAAACACGCACCTTGAATGGTCTCTTGATCTTGTGTGATGACAGGAAAGACTGGTTCATGGTTCCAACTGTGTGGATTGGCTATACAAAGGGGGTGTCAAAATATATTTTTTTTTAAACAATGATATAGAACATCACTATACAGACTGACAGTAATGATAATCAAAACAATGAATGATGATATTTAAAACATCAATAATTACAACTAAAACATTAATGATGACTAAAACACTGACGATCAGAACATTCATGATAAGACAAATGACAATCTTTCCTAATTAGCTTCAGCTTCAAATCTTGTTTATGTGGGTATTATATAAAGATTATAACCACATGGAAGGTGTGTGTCCAGAACAATACATCAGAAGCCCATTCAAAAGATTCAATTGCTCTTTTTTAGATTAATTTCTCTGATCATACATATGCCGTTGGATAAATAAAAAAGAAATTCACATGTGTTATAGGAAAAAGAAATTGTACACAACACTGCTGAAATCAGCTGCCAAATAAAACATGCAATTTTTGTGAAGAAAAAAAATTGGGTCTAAAATCATAAGGGTTTAATAATTAAACAAATGCTGAAGCCGTTAAAAAAAAATTCAAGAAATTTTGTTCTCACCTTGGAATGGCGGTGATTTGGTCTCTCGAACACCGCCGCGGCCTCTTCCACCTCCGCGTCGAAGTCCATTGCCACGAGGGGCGCCCCTACCACGGGGGTTTCTATTACCGGTGAAGTTCATGCCAGGTCCACCGCGGGCATGGTCGCCTGTGTTTATGGTGGTATGTGCAGCATCTGTTGTAGCAGCGTTGTCTGTGTCAGTGGTGGGGGTGACAACAGGGTCCGTAGCTGTGTTGTCGGTCTGAGGTATCATATTTGCTCTCCAGTTCTGAGAGTCTGGCCCTGCTGGTATGAAGAAAAGACGGTAATTTGGATTAGTGCCGAGTTTGCATACTCACAGAGATTGAGGAATGGACATATAACCTAAAAGTGCTGGGGATCATAATTTAGGTAAAGGATCTTCTGTATGGATACTAGTGCAATCTTAATGACTGAACCACCCCAACTGTTGCTCTTGAATGATCAATGTAACTTGTTTCAGCAAACTTTTAATCTATCATTGTTAATATGGCAGCAGGTAAGTGTTTAGATAGGCAACTCTGCATACTGCTATCTGTGCAGATAGGAAAACACTAGGAGAAGCATAGTGGACAAAAACGCTATACCTTCAGATCTGCGGTTTGGTCTGTTAAATCGATCCCCAGCTGGTCTCCCGCCACGCCTCGGTGGAGAAAAACCTCGTCCCTGACTTCGGCTCCGCCTGTTGCGTCTGTCTGGTTTGGGATGTTCGATCTCCATTCGTTGCCACTTTGGTTTTGTTCCTGTAGCAGACAAGACAAATGTATCAGTGTTTAGTGCAGCTACACCAGTGTTCAGGGTTGGTTGTTACTAAAACATTCTTATAATAATATATCAATATGTATAATGAGTGTCCTGTGCAAAATATGATGATAAATCAACTTTTCATTTAGCATTTAGAGTCATCAAAACACAAAATGGAACTCATAACTGCTAATTTAATTTTTTGCCAGCATGTGTCGTGACCTGTGTGTTTTGGGTCTGTAAGCTTCTTTGCAAGCACATTTAGTTTTGCAATCCGTAAGTCTTTTCCAAAGGCAGTGCCCTTTCCTTACCCTGAAGGCCTGGTTAAAAGCCTGTTGTGTAATGAGGGATAAAAGGAAGGAACAAACGTTACCTTTTTTGCTTCTGACAGCATTGCTGGTGTCATCGTCATTTCCACTGGTCTCCTTGTTCTCTTTGGAGGAGTCATCCCCGCCTGAGTCAGTCTGAGTCTGTGTCTAAATGACATTTTTTAAAAATTAGCCACGCAATGTATAAGAGTCTGCATGTGACAGAAAATGAAAGTGTACAACCATTTAAAGAAATTACATTTAAACTAACACAGAAAATCAACCAACAGTTCTACAAAATGTGACCTCAATTAAATATTATCACTCTACAGCAATACCAGGGCCATGGGCATAGAAAAACACATTATAACATATATGGCAATGATCCGTGCGCCACCAGTTAAACAGCCTTGATCTACAACCTTATAAACTGTCATGTCCTAGATATCTGAAATTCTCTGTCCACTAGTGTGGAACCATACCCATTGCTATTCTCTCTAAACCTTGTGACACTACACACATGTTGAGTTAGAGCAACAAAATTTGAACCATTTAGAACCTTTTAACATTCATATTTTTTACGTCATTCCCCCCCCCCCCCCCCCATTAATTTACAATCTTAAAACCCACTTACTGAAATAAAACAAGTTTTACCTGTACTGTCTGTGTTTCTACAGGAGCTTCACCTGTATGCTCCAACAGAGCTGGGCTCACGTCTATGCTGGTGGTCACAGGGGCTGAAGCAATACCAGACACTACAGGTTCAATTTCCGTGGGAGTAGTGCTGACAGTGGTGGAAGATGCAGGAGTGGCTTTTACTCTGGGAGACTTGGTAGCCTTTGGCGGCATCGTTTGGTTGGGCTAGAGTTAAAAAAAATCAAAACCTTAAACTTGGTGGCGGTTAGCAGTTATATCACACATGAGCCTCCTCTTTTTTGTGTAATAACAATGATACTGAATAGAATTTTTAAAAGGGGTAATACTTAAAAAGGTATTTAAAAGATGAATTTTATTATGACACTGTTTATTAACCAGATGTCAACAAATAACAATAACAAAGTCATGTGTACTGTTAATGGGGCACCAGAGACCTGGTTTGACAAAACAATGTTCCAAATTCTTCTTTGTTTAGTTGCTGCAAGCTCCAAGTGTTGGTCGTTCATGCATTTGGATTTTGGCTTTGTGCCAGGGCCTGAGCTTGGGCATAAATCCATTCTACTACTTTGCCGCTCAGGCAGAGGCACTTTCAGTTTTAAACTTCCTAATTAGTTGACTTGTATTACATAGCTTTTCATTTTGACTGGCGCGTGCATTTCTTTTCTGGCACTATGCCGGCTCCTAATATTAGCTCAAATAGCCATGCACAGGCAATTACTGTGTGAAGTAACAATGCAAAGTCAAACTACTGTGGTGACACCATAAACTGGGTCAAACCACATCCGGAAATAAACCAGTGTCAATTTTAAACTCACCTCTGGCACCTTGACTTCGTGCAATGTTGGCCAACTATCATCAACTAAAGCTGGACTGGCTGCCTGGTAAAACAAATTTAAAATGTTATAAGATCAATTCTGCAGTTTTAGAGTTGTTTTTTTTTATTATTCTACTGCGGGAGGCGTTAAAAAATCAAATCACTCACCACAAACGATCATATAAGTTTTATCTCTGACCCCTATAAGTTAAAACGCCCTGCAATGGCATATTATACTAGCTGCTCTAATATAGTCCATCCGGATTGCTACTCTATTTCACAGTAAAGTTATAAAGTTTCTTAATTTTTTGCATGTCAATGTTAGTACTTGTACTTAAGACAATAATCCACTGTTAAAGAAGTGTACATTCTTGGTAGACAGCACTGAATCAGGCATCATCATTTGCCAGGCTAAGTGGCATACTTATGTATCTCCAGATCTCATGCTTTTGTGGTCTGAATCCCTTCTATCCAGACTGCCAAGTACTGTTTCCTTTGTTCTGCCTCAAGAAATTAAATAATACTTGAATTTTTTTTATAAACATAAGAAAATGAAAAATTTTGCACTTACCTTTTTAGGCTCAGTCTCGTTTGCAGCAATCTCTAATGGCATAACATCCTTCTTTAGATCTGGATTACACACAAAAAATGCACAAAATAACTAGTTTTGATTAATAAGCAAGCAACATTGGATCACATGCTAATCCCAGTGCTAGAAAATATCTCTCAGTTCTGCTGTTTGCTGTTACCTAAAAGTTAGCTTCTTCATTCTTTCAACAAGCCCTTTCTTCATTAGCTGAACATGTCCCAACACTGAATAGTAATTTACACGACACGAAGCATAATGGACCCCGCTTCATACTCCTTAACAATAAAAGCATTTGATTTCCCGAAGCACTAATAGAAAATCTATAGACGTAATTACACACAAATATATGCATGTGAGTGTGCATTTTCTTTTTATAGCCTTTTTATTTACATTAATTGGCTTTCCTGTTAGTTTTTTTTTTTAGCAACTTTTCCCTTTATTTAGTTTAATGGTCAATAAATATTTACTGTGTGTGTAACTGCACTGCTTTTTAATGATCCACCTGCTGCTCCGTCAATTAAAACAGCTGAAATTGACAGCAACAGAAAGTATGGTTGATCGTATTATATGTTCTACTACACTGATCTACCTTCAAGGCAAGCCAAATCCTAATGTGTTCATGTTTGATTAGATTTTGCTTCAGTCTAGACTGGTATGCATCAAACCTTATGACATGCTCGGTAGGTTCTGATAACGCGTACATAAAGCTGATGATGGCACACATCCTTTTTCTTATGTTTACTGGTTGATAATGCATGCACGTTTAGTTTACAGATCTGCCTTATTTGTATACGACTACTGAATCCCCAGGGCTCAAGGGTCTGAGAGAAAGGTAAAAAAAAAAATAGAATATGTATTGTTAATAGCGTGCTTTTTTTTTACAAAATTATTTACCAAAAGAAAAAAGATAGCTCATTATGCTAAGAATACGGACATAAAAGAAAATACATTTGATAAAGATTTAAACGCAACAGTCAGTAGAGATGCACTGCAATTACATGGAAGTGCCCGATATGCAATAACATACTGTATCCAAAAAAAATTGCATAGGCTTTATTCTGCACTAACCTGCCTGAAAAGTCTTCTCAACACTCCACAATTCCTTGCTGAATGAAACTGGAGACACCACTACTGCTGCCGCTGGAGTGGGGTCCTGTTCCACTCTTGCTGGAATCACAAGTCCAGAAGCCATATTAGCTCCCACAGGCTTCTTCCATGGGTTAACTGTGGGGAGTGGAGCCTCAACGTAATCTTCCCCAAACTTTTTAATCTTGGGTTTCTGGCTATTCTCTGCCTGTTTGTTGCCATTGAGTTCAGTTTTAGACTTCTGGGATTTAGGTTTCTCATTTTTCACACTTTCAATATTTGAAGCAGGTGTTTTGCCACCTCCTCTACCTCCCTTCTGTGGTGCTGCAATCATTTGTGGTGCTCCATTTCCTTGTGGTACTGCATTGACATGTGGTGCTGCATTGACTTGTGGTACTGCATTGACTTGTGGTGCTGCATTGACTTGTGGTGCTGTATTCCCTTGTGGTACTGCATTTCTTTGTGCAGCTGCATTTACTGCTACTTCTGTAATTAAAAAAATGAAACATAAAATTGTACCTAATATTTCTGAGGCATTAACACTCATAAAATCACTGTAATTATCCTCTACTTTGCCAATTTCTCTTACAAAATTTTAGCGATCTTCTACTTAGGTATGCTTGCATCAAGTTAACTGACGGTGTCTGGATGGTGCATGGTATACTGAAGAGCTGAGTGATCAGTCTTTGTATGCTCAAATAGGATGAAGCAAAAACGCAGAGCAGCATTAAATGATATCGGACTATCATTGAAAGTTGGGTGGACTTTTTTTTTTGTAATCAGTTCAAGAGGATCATAGCATCTTACATGAGAAAAAAATATGCGGGTATTAAAACAATGCATTTGCAGATATGTGACAGGACATCAAAAGGAGAGCATCATGTAGATCAGGAACTAGATGAGCAGCAGTATCTATGATGAGAGCTTTCAGAAAAGCAACAAGAAAAACCTTATATCTCCCTCAACACCTGAACTATTATTATATTTGAAAGAACTAAACATGCATGTTTTAGAAATTGTTTTAAGTTCAATGCTACATCAAAATATTATTTACAAATATTTGTATATACCTTTTTTAAAATCAGGAATCTGAGGATTCAGATTGGTTTCAGCTGCCAAGGTTAAGCTGCTGCTTCTCTTAGTCCATGGATTGGTAGTTGGCAAGGGAGCATCCACAAATTTCTTAGCAGACTGCTCGCTCTTGTCACATTTTTCATGTGTCTTTCCGGTGTCTGCTAGTAAACCCTGTCTCTCAACTGCCATGGTGGTCTTGAAACAGTCCTGGTTACCCTCTACCTTCAATGGCAGATTGTTCTGATTCTCACCGTGGCCAGTTTCTGAAGGCTCATCTTTAACAGCAGAAGCTGCAGCCATGATTCCAACAGCGACTGAAGTTTCTCTGCTCACGAATCAATGAAATTCTGTGATAGTAAAAAAAAAAAGGTTTTTAGTACAAACATGATATGTGTCATGTAGTTACCACTCACAGGAGTATATTTATAAAATGTAATCTGGTGAATCAGACTTGTGCCCATTCCATCTGGAAATATAATCCATTACATAGAGATTAGGTGCAAGCTTAAGATGTCATACAAATCCAAGTGGCCGGCACTGTGATGTCAACCATACAAAGATGGTTTGACCCGTTATTAGCAGTAAATATATCATATTGATATATGAAACTAAAATCATACATCACCTTACTATCTAAAAGGCATTATTATCATTTTGTTAATATGTTATCTTCCTGGGCCAGTAAAAAAATGTCTGGTATTATCCCTTTAGTAAAACTTCATTCATTACCACAATTTAAAAAAAAAAGATAATTTTTGTTTTGTAACTAAATATGTCATTAGGGATAAGCCTGGAAAATAAGTGGGTTCCCCTTTTAAATTTGAAACCCAAAATAAGTTCGGTAAAAATATTACAATTGTGTGAAGTTCTAATTTGGAAAAAAAAATTTAGTTTGTCTACAGGATAAAGTAACCTACAGGCAATCAACGACTTCTCACCTCTAACAAAGTCATGGCATATCGGTTAATTTCAACAAAAGCAAACATTTGTTTGAATTAAGGCTTCTCTCACACTTAACTGCCCCAACACAGAACTAAATATAACGGCAGATGAAAACAAAACATTTAACCCACGCTTCTTGAGGCGACACCTCTCCTTTGCCCTGTCAGGAAACACATGGCATGGTGCTTATTTTATAATCAAGTCACGACGTAAGCAAAACATTCCCATGCTCTCATTACATTTTAGTTTTTTTATAAACACGGCTAACATCACGTCACAGTGTTCAAATATCAGAAATCCCAAAATATCTTAAAAAGATATGTACCAAACTTGCACACCGGATTTCATTTTCAATTTCTAAAAATTTAAAAAAAATGACCCCTAGGATGATGATGATGAGACTTTTCTAGCAAAACGTTGACCTGTTTGTAAACAAAGTTCTTTGCTTATTTAACAATCTGCAGCTTTATAAAAATAATCCTGTACGATTTAACCACGTGTGCGTACGAACTGACCACACTAACGAGAATAGAATATATAGATTTTTACAGAAAAAGTATGAAAATATTTTCCAAGCAAGTCTCACCACATGTGATAGCCATATCGCCGACTTTCTCATATGCGCATGACGGAAGTGGCTATCTTGTTACAGTAAAGCGGGGTTGCCAGAGCTTCTAAAGAAAACATTATATTGCCTGATTGGAAAATTAAAATTGACGGGACTCTAGCAGCCATAGTGCGCGTTTAAGCACTACCAATTTTTTTTTTTTTGTGGTTGGGGGGGGGGGGGGGGGGGAGGTGGAGAAGGGTTTGCGGAGAACAATATCTGACCCGTAAAATGTATATTATATTGCATTGTACTTAAGTTTTCGTACATAAATTTTAAACGTTACTTCGTATGTAGTATATCTCTTTCTGCTCCAACCAACACGCCTTGTGCGATTTTGCACAAGAATATGTCCATAAGTACCAAATCACGAGCGACGGTATCTTGTGTTTAACCTAACAGTACATGTATATCATATGTGATAATAATCATGTTATGCGTTATTAATTCTTGCAGTTGAGACTAATGTCATCTCGCAATTAGGCCTCTTAAAGCCCCCCCCCCCCCCCTTTTCCTCTTGAATATTCACCTGGAGGCGCATCTGTCTGAAAGGGATGATCAAACAGTTCGCATACAAATAAGCCTGATCTGTAAAACATGTGCACGCAAAAAAAAAAAAAAAAAAAAAAGATACTAAAGGGAGGTCGAACAAGCAGAACGTTTCAACAAAGTCCGTGAATACTGAATGCGATGGAAAATTAAAGGCGCTGTCATAACAGCTCTCTGGGAGAGTGATATGAACGTTGCACATTGAACGGAAGCGCAGCAAAAGTATACCACTGTAGCAAAACTCTATTGTGAATAATGCCTCACACACAAATTTAAAAAAAAAAGTATATGATACTCTAGAGAGAAAACGTCAAATTGTGTAGCCTCTTCTTATAAAAGTAAAAGTAATAATTAAGTAACCATTGAGACCTGGGTTAAAGGCCTTGGGTTTTGCATCTGCATCGTAGCAGCACAAACAAATACTATCACAGAGCATGTTAATGCCTGTCCCATGCGGTCGTACTTTAACCCTGCCTTCGTTATGTTATATTTCCATTTTAAATCAGTCTCATGGTACATAAAATTCCTATCGAACCCCTACCTACCCACTGTCACTGCGATACTTTTATCCCGAGATATAGATAAACCTTAATTTCGAACATCCCCTATTTCAACTGAATAATAGTAAAGTTTTTTTCTTTCTTGTAGACTTGTTTATGCTTTGATTTTACAAGTGTTTCTACGTGATGGAATCGTTTGTAGCCTCCTAAGCCATAAGAAATTCAGTATAAGACGTGTGGAAACGGTTATTTTACAGCCAGTAAGAATATGTGAATATATATGTATATGTATTGTATAAGTTTTAAATAAAGTTTGAATGAATACAAATATATACATACATATTAATAATAATATCGCCGCTGTATGGAGTTTATGCACTATGCTGATATACTGTTTTTAAAAACAAGCAACACAAGAGTGGAACAGGCAACATTTAAGAAATAATATAATAGATACACGCCCACTAAACACAAAACATGTGACGCACATGCTTTATACGATGCATCGATGTTAAATGAAAAGAATTAATACAACAAAACTCAAAATTAATAAATTCGTTTCCAAGCACACAAGTTGCAAGATTATTTCATTTTTTCATTTTAAAATACAACACTGAAAAAACATTAACAAAATCCAACTTACCCCACTTGATAGATGTATAGCAGTTGATATAAAAACACGTGGTTCTGTGTTGACAGTTTTACTAACACAACAGTGTCGTGTCTTGCTTGTCTGTTGATGACGATTGAATTTTGAACTACTTTGGACGCGATATAGTGGCTATCTCGTTTGTTATTCGGCAGCTAGCCAATGGAAATTGTGGTTTAATTTTCGTCGACCATCGCGCGGACTCGGACGACGCGGTCGAGCGATTTTGGCAGGTACTGTAATCAACCCGCGTGTTCGCAAATGTATTCAAGGCTGAAATCTGGGTGCCCCAGCTGACCAGCGGGTTTCAAACAGAAGTGGAAAACTCAGAGAAAGCATCGCTTTTTATGGACCCTACACCTTCTCCTTCTCATTTAAGTACACTTATCAGTACCAGTTATAGGGGACCAGCACTTGTGGAATTCCAGGCTACTACGCTTCTCTGATAACCTTCCCCGCCCCTCCCCACATATGATTAATATATAAATCAGTCTGTTTTCAGATCAACCCAAGCAGAGCAGGCAGTGCGCAGGACTCAACTCACCAAGGACCTCTTCCTCAACCTAGCAAGCTATCTGTCTCTCTCCATCTTCCGACCTAACTATAAAATATCTTGGCACCTTCGGGCGTTATAATTTTTTTGCAATCTTTGTTACCTCTTCTACATATTTAACGGCTGCGCACAACAACAAGATTGTGACAGTCGTCCTGTGGGGGTCGTGTTTAGGACGCTCAGTGTGCGGGACTGTTTGTTTCGCGGCGGTGTGACTGAGAACTGACTTGGTACTAACACAGATGAACAGTGCAACAGCTAGCGAATAGCCAATTAAACAGGAACCAGGCCCCTCTGAACCAGAACTTAGGCAACAAATGAACAAACTCAGGTGAAATTGCTCACCACAAAGGAAGATAAATAAAATAAGATAGCAAAGGAACCGTCCTTGAAAAAGCAGGCCATCATGCGGCTAAAAAAGGACTAAGCTTGGAATTTTTGTTTGATTTGATACGATACCAGTTATAGTTTTCACATAAATAGAAGTAGTAGTTCACCGTGTGGGTTCCAGCGCCCCAATGAGGGAAAACAAGAATAGACCCACACTGCCTCTATATAAAGCATGTCGTAGGAGTCGACTAATTGGGAACTTTCTTCGTAGTCGAAGTGCATTTACCCTAGCGGCAAGGAACAGCCAGCCGCAAACACATAAGCTAGTAAAACGGATGTACACGCACAATTCAGACTCTGGCACAAAGCCAAAAGTCCAAAAAGACTAACAACCAGGATTTCCCTCCGGAGCTTACAGCTGGTGAACAAAGCAGAAGAAGAAGAAAAAGTAGCTGTTGTAGTATTAATAGTAGTAGTGGTAGTAGCAGCAGTAGTAGTAGTAGCAGCAGTAGTAGAAGTTTTCACATAAATAATATCCTGTTAAGCTCCCAGGGATATAAACTTTTGCTATTTAATATATCATATTATTATGTCCTTAAGATGTAATGTAACCTGTATCCTTAACATTTAGTTGCAAACTAATTTGCGTTTCTTCGTCTACTTATAGTTTGTGCCACATTGTGTGGGTTAGCAAATCAGGCACCGTCTCCGCAGTGACTGCAATAGACCTCCAATACACCTTGTCTCTTGTCTCGGTTTTACACTCTCTTAGACAGCTGTTCTTTAATCTCTTGTTGTTGTCCTCCCACTTGTATTACTGCCCACCTGGTACTCCTCTATTTTCGATATGTGATTTGAGAAATGCCAAGCCTTTTCCCTTTCCTTCTCATAATATGTCCCGTCACAAATCTTAGACTGGTGACCTTGGAACCTGGGCAAATGCGTTATAAACACCACACCTTAAGGTGAATGTGGATTCGAACTCATGACAATGGGGTCAGCAGGAAAGCGTGCTACATGACAAGAGATCCAGCGGAAAAATATGTTAGTCGTTGCAGTTCCCCGTCTCACTGAACATGCTAAAAAAAGCTAACAATATACATTTTAGTTCCGTATGTGTGTTTGATTTGGGTTTTCCCATGTGGGTTCGGAGCACCGGGGGGAAGGGAG